GTAGATGGACACAGTGTCTTTATTTTATTTATTTATTTTTATGTGATGCTGAGGATCCAACCCAGTGCCTCACGTGGGCTAGGCAGGCAGGCACTCTATCACTGAGTTACAACCCTAGCCCCATSAAGAAATAATTATTAAGTTGTTGAAAACAATTATGTACTTCCTTGGAAGGCTCAAGCCTTGGGCAGTGAATATYATAAGACATTACAGTGTCCTGTGATGCTTGAGCACTATATTCAAGAGTAAAAAAATTACCATATTAGCTTACAAGTAAACAGTCAAACATAAGGGGATTGTTGACTTGTTCAGTAGAGAAGTCATTAAATAGAGTTACCTGTCAGATTAGCCATTTTCCCTGAAATATCAGTGGTGAACATCCTAGTGAAAGTCTGGTAATATAAATTGTTTGTCCCTCATCCAGAAATGATTGGGAGCACAGGTGATTCTGCTTTCAGAGCTTCTGGGCTCTGGAATATTTGCATAGATTTTACCCGCTGAGCATTTCTAATCTGAAAATTTAGAATGTAAATGCTACAAATATGAAACTTTTTTGAGTGTTGATAGGATACCATAAATGGAAATTTTCACATCTGACCTCTTGTGATGAGWTGCAGTCAAAACACAGGTACACTAAAAATATCATATAAACTTACCTTTAGGTTATATGTATGAGGTATATGTGAAACATAAATGAGATTTGTATTTAGAGTTGGGTTCTATCCCCAAGGTTTCTTATTATGCATATACAAGTATTCAAAAATCTAAGAACATTAGAAATATGAAAYACTATTAGTCCCAAATATTTCTGATAAGGTATACTTAGCCTATGTATAATTGAGTTTGATTTCATCCCTCATTGTTTTATATAACATGATATTTCACTGTCTTTTAATTTTTATTGAAATATTTTATTTACTTTTAAAATTACAGTACACTGATTGATTCCGATGGCTAGCACTGACACAGCTCTGGTTACCTATTTTGTTAAGGAAAGTAACTATTGCATAATATAAACAGATGAAGACATTTGTGGATTAGGAGTCCAGTAAACAAACTGATAGTTTATTTCAGTGGTTGTTTTAGTGAAATTTGACAAACAAAATTTTCATGTTAAAGCAAATGCCTGCTATATCCTAATACTAATAAATAGTCATTAAACACTCATGTTCCTCAGCCTGATGTCACTGTCGTAAAGATGGCTAGATAGCCATACCTAGTAGAGTTGATTTACGGATACTCTGATAAAATTTGAGCTTTTTGTTAATGCTTGAATGATTTTAGAAGTTTCTTGCAGGGTTCAGTACCCTTGAACTTGCAGTTGGTTTATATCCTGGCCTGTACCTGAGATGAATATATTTCAGATCCACATTTTACCATAAATTTCAGAGTTCCTTATGTGATACTCTAATTAAGGAATATATTATGTGAGTTTGACCTTTTGATTTGTCTCTTGTCCTTATTGTCTTTTAGGAAGATGATTAGATGTAGTTTATGTGCTAAAGCCTCAAATATTTGGTTCAGCCGAATGATAGGTCATATTTTTATCTACTTTAAATATAATTTAGAGATGTAAAAAGTCATTTTTATGAGTTACCAGAGATAGGCTTTGCCATCATGGTTCTTTTTTCTTCCCCACTTTACCCTCATTGTTCACTACACCCAAATAAATTCGGGGACAGAATTTATCTCTTATTGCCATGGATTTCAACTTAAAGTCTATTAAACTGATTGCTTTTTCTGAAAGGGCAAACTAGACATCTACATTTAACTTGACTGTCTTGGAAATGATAATTTATGCTCAAGTTTTTTAAAAGCTTTGCCTAGTTTTAATTTGGGTCTATCAGTGACATATTTTAAAATTTAAATATTGGAAAAGTGGGAGATTTTAAAAAGAAAGGATAAAGTATTATTATTCTATGCAAAAATGTTAAAGGATGAGGATTTTTTGTTTGTTTTTTGCAGAGGGGCCAGGTGTGACTGAAATTCTTTATGATCATGAATATGTTTGAAAATAATGTTTCCTTTTGTTTTTAAAGACTTCAGAAATAGTTTAAACTTAAAGCAATTATGATTGGGATTATAGAATATCATTTGGTGTTACAGAACAAAGAAGCTTTTGTGAATGGTATTTATTAACATTAAATGGGGAACAAATCACTGGATTCTGGTCAACCTGGTGTTGGAAATCGTGGGCTAATAGAGAATCTCTCTCAATGGATCGGTATTCTTTACTACTGTAAATTAGTTTGTGCGGTCAGGTGTTACGGAAGGGTAACTAGTCCCTGATACCTAGGAAGCCATTATRGTGATCAGCTAGAATAGGTGATTAACCCACTCATGCAGGCAGAAGGAATGGAGTGGGTGGGCGGAGGRCACATTGTAGATTCCAGTTGAGTTTAGTGCAGCTCTTATTACAGCTGTTTTAATACTGTGTATATGTCCTGGTGCCTTGTAGCTTAAGTAAAATCTTGTTCTCTACTTACTAACTTCTAATTTGATTTAATATAGTAGTGTAAATCAAAGAAAAATAATTTTCATTGTTGAATAATGCTTATAATACCAATTAGTTCATAATCTTTTACATATCTAAAAATAAGAATGATTGGAAGGTGTTGTACAAAGCTGCTCACCTCAAGGTGGTTAAGGTTTTTCTGTTTATTGTAATTATTAATTTGGCTTTTCTGAACTATCAAGTATTGAAAATTTCATAATTTTCTATGTGTCGTGTAATAAATTTTGTCAGTAATGTATTTAGCAAATTGAAGCAATGTTAAATGCAGAGGTGGAATGAGTACATATGGTGTTAAAAATAAAAGATCTTCCTATCACCCTAAGACAACACTCCCAACTGGGATTCTAGCAGTCTCTCTCTCTCTCTGTTATATATATTACAGGGCCTGGCATAGTCTTATTTTTCTCTGAGCATTCAGTCTTTCTGTCGATRTACATTTTAAAATCATTGCTCCTTCTTTCCACTTATTTGAATACAATTCATTCTTTGCTATCTAACCATTTATACCTCCTTTGTGTCTACCACCTCCCAATGTTGTGTTTTTACTTTATATGCTACTTCTGACTCTTTTTGAAGAGTTGCTTATTTGTTCCATTTGGACTATGTATTTTTTAAAAAAWTTTTATTATGTTAAATATCTTTTGTACATTTGGATTTGTTGGCTAAATTCTAATTCCTGTGAAGGTAGGAATTCTCTCACATTCATCATACATCCTCCATTTAATCTAGTGCCAAGAACATGATAGGAGCTCACTATTTATAATTAGTATAATTGTACGTAAGAAAAGTGATGGGGTATTTTCATTGTATTAAGTGTTTTAGAACTTAAGTATTTGAGTATTTATTTTAATTTCCCTTGAGATTAAATTTTGACAATGAAAGAAATATTCTTGAATAACAGAGGTCTGTGTTCATACTTTATTATTGGAAGGGAGGTTCCATTGAAGGATGCTCGATTACCTGCATGTTCTTTGAATAGGAGCAAGTATCCACAACACATGATCCTATAGGGTTTTAAATATTGTAATTTCAGCTTCTCTCAAACTCTGAAGAGTTATTTTGTCGGTGACATAAAGGGGAAACAAAGTTTTCAGTGACTGAAAAACCACAAACCAATACCCTAGTGGTTGCTACTAACATATAAAATACAAATAACAGGACATTACTCATTTTTCAACTTGAATTATATTACTTTGAGTTTAAAAATCAGTTGTTTTCCATATGCAGAGCTTCAGAGGGCAGTGTTAGAAATAAATGGTTAAGCATAATTTATTTCAGACAGATATTTCTGAAATGCATTATTTGTATGACTTTGGGCATGGTATTTAACCCCTGATTCTTATTTTTTTCTTTTATAAAATAATATCCTGTCTAGTAATAACCTATCCCAAAAGATTAGCATAAGGACTATAAAAGAGACATCTAAAACACCAAGCACTATGGTTACATGGCTCCTTCATAGGCATCTAACGTGCATCTTGTCCTCTGCTGTTTTTGTCCCTCTCTCCCCAATTTAGATACATATTATCTAATTGAACTTTTTATTTTTGCTCCAGCTGTTTCATAGCACATTTTGATGATTATAAGAAAGTTACTCCTAATTATAACAGTGATCCAGTAGGAAACTGGACTTTGAAAAGAATATTGTCAGTAATGTTCATGAATATTTTTCAAAGAACTTGTTTTTTTTTTATTTTGAATAGTAATTTTGTAAAAAGTATTGAARACATTTCATAGTAAGATTAAAAATACATTAAGACGTTGCTGTTAGTTTGAGATGTCATAAATTTTCTGAAATTAGTCAAAAGATCTCTATGTAAGTGAGAAAGTAAAATTTTGCCACTTTAACTAGGGCAGTAGTATTATAGACAAAATCTTTTTAACTAGGCTCTTCAGGGAATAATGTTTTCTGACTAAAATCCCCTTTTGTTTGAGCCCTTTACATAAATGTTTAGAAGTATAATGGTCTGCTTTCCTGCCTTAAAGAAATGTATGTGCAGAATATAGTAGCTTCTTTGTTTGTAGACAGAGAATCTTTCTTTCGTCATTCTAAATATCAGTTATTATGGTGTGGCTCTATGGAATAGCCTGATGATAAGTAGTGGAGATTAGGCTGAATGTACTCATAGGCATATTTTGAAAAATTACCAGCCCTCCAGCCCTCCTCTCACCCTTAATCCCAAGTCTCAGTTTTGCTTTAACTTTCATATCCCTACACTTGTGTGATTGAGGAAAGAACATTTTCTAACAAATTTGAGATTCTGATTTCTTCAAACTGAAAATTCATAAAAGGAGACTTGGGAGATTATTCAGCCTACCATCCTCCTTTAATAGATTCAAAACCTCTGAGGCATAGGTTAATTGACTTGCTCAAGGAAACTAAGCAGATTCATTAAAAGAAACAAAGATTTAGGTTTCCTCATTAAACTGACACTTTAACAGTGTCCCAAATTTTGGTGGTTATCTTTGATCTTCTTTGAAACAGGTAGATCGACACTTGAGAAAGCTGGATCAGGAACTGGCTAAGTTTAAAATGGAGCTGGAAGCTGATAATGCTGGAATTACAGAGATATTAGAGAGGCGTAAGTAAAATTTACAGTTTTCCATCAATATTGGATAATACATGTGCAAATCACCGAGGAGACGCTTGTCCCACAGAAGCTTTTCAGATTTTGCCTTTTGCTTGTTGGTGGCGTCTAGGTCACATAACTTGGACCCCAGCAGTTGGAACTGTTTGGGTCATGGACACCAAAAGGGATAATGTAGGCTATCATCCCACTCATTCTTTATGGAAAAAAAAAAAACATACGAAGTCATTCCATCTTTAAATATCCACATGTACTAGTAAGATTAGTGGTAAAAGCAAAGATTTTTTAAAGAAGTATCACCATTGAGAGACAAATTAACCATCTCCCATATTCATTAATACAGTGACTTTGCCCTGCCTGTTAGTTTTTCTTCTTGGGAACTTCCTTAATACTTTTCCACAGATGTATATGCTGAGAAAGATTCTGACTTATTTCACAACACTTCCTGTTTTTTAAAATAGTCTTTCCTAAACTTTATATTATCAGCAAAAAGCCATGTTAATATTTCTTTGCAAGGCTCAAATTGATCTCCTGCTRTAAGTTACACACAAATACTTATTGGTTTTCACTCAGGAGACTTCCCAGAAATGAATGCCTGAGCTCTGTTTTTAAAAAATAATTCCTCATCTCTTCAACCTCTAAATAGTGAGATGAATAAAAGTAGAGAGTGTGGTGGTAGGCCTAGAGATGTTAGTAGAACCAAAATAGTATTATGGGTGTTTTCTGCTAGAACTTAAAGTTTATAAACATTTTTTTTTCCCCTTGGTGCATTCTAACAGCAAGAATATTTACCYTTTCTGTTCACAAAATGTTTCTTGATGGCGTGAGACTGTATATCTCACTCTAGGTCAGTTACAGAAGCCAGTATAAAATCCATTTTGATTTCCATAGTTGCATTTTTTAAAATCTAAAGTAGATCCATCACTTTAGATGATAATCTGATTTAWTTGTGATACTTTTATTCTAGAGAAAGCCTGTCAATGATAAGTGTTGGGGGACAAAATACAATATTCTATAGCTGCTTTCATTTTCTTTTCTTTTCTTTTTTTTTTTTTTTAAATGCTGATGGTAGCTGTGAATAATGGTAACTCATTCCTATTCAGTACTGCAGGAAGGTTAATAAAGCATCCTCTCTAAGGACACAGACATATGAACCTAAATTGGATCAAGTTTTAAAATACTCCATCCTGTGCCCTGCCATAATTTCATCTCAAGGGATCAAAAATAAACCCAGAGAATTTCTTTAAAAGTATTTTAAAGCTTGGTGTTCGAGATTCTTCCCCTCACTTTTTACAAGTAAAATCCCTGACTTCTTTTAGGAAGTCTTCACTGTTATATGTCATTTTAATGATCAAAGAATTTTCTTTCAGATTAATAGTGTCCTGTCACCTAGAACTTTAGAATCTCCTACTAAAAGCTCCTCAATACTATTATTCTCACCTGAGGATTTTAGATTTTATTAGTAGTTGTGGTTACAATGTCCATTCATCTGTTTACATGGCACCCACTGTGGTGACTTCCCTAACTCAGCATTACCATGCCTTGAACCATTTTGTATTTAAGGTGAAGATTGAGAAATGGGTTTCTCAATAGCTCAGAGTGGAATTGGCATTGATGGCCCTCTGACATATGTGACTAAAATGATACAGGTCTGTGTAGAGCATGCTGCCCTCTGCTGAGTTAGGGAACACTACTGCCAGTAGTTGGTTGACATGTAGAGTTGTGTAGTGACATTTAATGGTGGTATATCTCTGTGTCTTTCTTTTTAGGATCTTTGGAATTAGATACTCCTTCACAGCCAGTGAACAATCACCATGCTCATTCACATACTCCAGTGGAAAGTAAGTTTGGGTTAGTGCACTAAGTATTTAAAGAGCTAAATACAATTAAAAACTCATTATTCATGTCACCTGTGTGTTTTTCCAGAAGCTGAGAACTTTTCTTCCCTCCTTTTTTWAAAAAAAATGAGATATGTTTTCATTGCAAATCCTAACAGATTTTATCTTTTTCATTTGGGAAAAGCACATTTGACTTGTGAACAGGTGGTCTGTTTTCTCTGAAGTTCCTAGAGGGAGAATSTGTACCAGTAATAGCTGTATATGCTTCTTACCTACAGATGTCCAATTCTCTCTAGGGAGTGTTACAACTGGGCCAAACAATAAACTAGGACCTTTGTCTTTTTCATCCTTGCTTCTYGAGTGCTTAACTGATTGTTTGGCATATGAAAAAGTCATATGGTTGGTGAGTTAGTGAGTAAAGGAATTGTTGGCTGGCTGATGGGCTGGTGGACTAACTGTACTGGTACTTTTTTTTTTTTTTGGACAAATCAATTTGATAGGAAACAAGGTTTGACTAAAAATAAAATTCCCCTTACATTGTATGTGAAACCTTGGTGCATCTTGGGTTATCTTCAGAACTTTACTCCTGAAGATTTTAAAATATGAATAAAACATGTGACACAGAGTTCTGTTTTTCCTCTCTTCTGAGAAGATATCATAGTCCCTGTTTGATGAGGCACCCAGATTGTGAGTGCACTGCTTTATGACTGCTGGAAGTGTGCCTATCTGTAGTTCTCTAAAGTTTAAAAACACATGAATTCTTTATTTATATTCAGAAAGGAAATATAATCCAACTTCTCACCATACGACAACAGATCACATCCCTGAAAAGAAGTTTAAATCTGAAGCTCTGCTCTCTACCCTTACATCAGATGCCTCTAAGGAAAATACACTAGGTAAGTTTTTTTTCTTAAATATTATTACTGCTTTTTTAATTTATTTGTTAGTGTTAGAATAGGGGAAATKAAAACATTCATGAGTAGTGAATCTTAGAGATTTGTTACCTGGTTGAAGTCTGCATATGAAGAAAAGAAAAAGGAAAATGTCTTCCATTACTCAATCTACAGTATACAAAGAATTTCCTTTGAATGATTCTATCTGTGCTGGCAAATGATGTATTTTAAACTCAATAATATTCCACAACCATTTTTGTTTCTTCTCTACAGGTTGTCGAAATAATAATTCCACAGCTTCTTCCAACAATGCTTACAATGTGAATTCCTCCCAACCTCTGGCATCCTATAACATTGGCTCATTATCTTCAGGAACTGGTGCAGGGGCAATTACCATGGCAGCAGCTCAAGCAGTTCAAGCTACAGCACAGGTAAAAAGTTCAGAATCATTGGCAAACCCTAGTAGAAACAACTGGATGTGAACAGTTTTATTTTATCATGTGTTTTAACTTTGAAATCAGTCTTATAATAATAACATATAATTAAATAGGAATWACCTGACTGATGAAGAAAAGTAAAAGATAAATTCCTCTTGCAGACCCTTCTCACACTTTTTGCTCAGATTGCCTGTATTCTCAGCTGCTGTCCTTAGCACATGCTGGGATAGTTATTTGGACTTTCTACCACTTTCAGGACTCTGTGGCCTTGGGGCTTAGATTGGCTTGAGTTTGTTTACTTCTGTAATTGTCTGTGTTCCAATTGAGAAGTAACCCTTCCCACACTTACTTCTTGTGTAAAAACTGATTTTAAATCTTTTTTTCGTGGGGAAGGAAGGGGGTATCAGGGATTGAACTGGGGGGCACTTGACCACTGAGCCACATCCCCAGGCCTATTTTGTTTTTATTTAGAGATAGAGTCTCACTGAGTTGTTTAGTGCCTCACTTCTACTGAGGCTGGTGATTTTAAATCTTTATATGAAATAACTTAAATGCCAATGATGAAAATTAAATTTAAGCAAAATAAATGTATAGTGGATGAACAAAAATAACACTGTAACCTGTAAAACTTGAGAAAGTCTGTATTATATATATTAATGCTATAAATGAATGTCTATTTAAGATGAAAGAAGGACGAAGAACATCAAGTTTAAAAGCCAGTTATGAAGCATTTAAGAATAATGACTTTCAGCTGGGAAAAGAATTTTCAATGCCCAGGGAAACAGCTGGCTATTCATCATCTTCAGCACTCATGACAACATTAACACAGAATGCCAGCTCATCAGCAGCTGACTCACGGAGTGGTCGAAAGAGCAAGTAAGTTTTCTCATTACACACCTTTGCATAACCCCATACCTTTGCTGTGTTTTCAGTCTGCTTGGCACCTCAGCTGAGCCTCCATGCCCATTATCCAGGGCATAATGGGTCAGGATAAACTTAGGATATGTGAGAAGAYGTGAGATTTTCATTTACACTGCTATGCTTTTAAGGAATAAAAGTCTTTAAAAAGTGTTAGAATTATTTTTAATTTTTCTGTAGTCTTAATTCAGCTTGTTAGTAAATGATTTCTGTTTATTTTCATTTGTTCATTAACATAAACCATTTTATGGTACTGTTTTTCATAAGTTCTTATTTTGCCATATGTTTCAATGTAAATCAATACATAAAATGCAAATTACATTTTTTAAAAAATAAGATTTTTCAATTTGATTAATAGCAAGTTGTCTTAATTCTTGATCTTATGTTTCCAAAATTGATGATATGAAAATATGCCTAAGTTTTATATGTGAGACTCTTAGGATGATTATATAAGCTTTAAATTTGAAAACTTAACAGCGTTGAATTCCATCTGTCCCTGGTACTGAATATGCTGGGTGCTTATACATAATGAAAGTTCAAATGTGAGGCCAGAAGAATTAGTTACTTTATAATTTTGTCATAATTTATTTTTAACTGTGATGTGGTTTTTCTTTGTTGTTTTGTTTTGTATAAATCCCTGAAAGAATGATGGATATAAAATAATCACACAAGTATCACCTTGTTAAAAATTAATTTTAATTTTATGAACCAAATTTAATATAGCTGTTTATGGCAAATGTTTACATTTTTAAAATGGAGTTAGCCCCTAGCTAGTGGTAAATATTGTGAATTTTAACACTCTTGGTTCACTATCTTCCACATGATAGGTATTCATATGTCAGTTGATAGTCATAATTAGTGTTTTTCTGTATTTGCATTTTAGAGTTTGATGAAGAGTATTTTGTTTATTTAGAATTACAAAAAGAGTCCAGGGTAACCATAACTAATACTAATTCTTAAAAATACTATGAACAGTTTAAATCAGTGGTAAGTAGTAACTACGATTAAAAATATTTTTAAAACTTTGAAACAATTTTAAAAGAAGTTTATTTCGAATACTCTTATTCTCCAGAAAATAAAACATTCCAAATGAAAAAAATAAACTATTATAAAATTCTTTCTCATTGCTCTAAATAAAAGTGTTAGATGTTAATTTATACATTTGATGTTTTTCTTGGGTAGTGTCTGATGATGGCCAAACAAAACCAATGCTTTTTTTCAGAAACAACAACAAATCTTCCAGTCAGCAGTCATCCTCTTCCTCTTCCTCTTCCTCCCTGTCGTCCTGCTCTTCATCATCAACTGTTGTACAGGAAATCTCCCAGCAAACAACAGTAGTACCAGAATCAGACTCAAATAGCCAGGTTGATTGGACTTACGACCCAAATGAACCTCGATATTGCATTTGTAATCAGGTAAAAGTCTGGTGTATTTCTATAACAACACAATATAAAAAACTAGAAAGAAGAAAATTATTCCATTTTCCAGCATTCTTTTACTCTGGTAAAATACCTTTGCTTTATTTGTATGCCTTTCTCCCCCTTTTAAAAGTGACATGTTTGCTGTAAATTCAAAGAGTATAAAGAAAAATGCAGGGACTGGGACTGAGCTCCATAGTAGAGTACTTACCCCACCCTCATGAAGCCTTGGGTTTGATACCCAGCACCACATTTAAGAAAGAGAGAGAAAGGAAAGAAGGAAGAAAGGAAGTTTGGGGTGGGGGAAGAAGGTCAGTCCAAGTTGACCATAATCTCAGTGCTCAGGTATAACTTGTAATGAAACATTTAACATACCATGCTATATTCCCTGTACACATAAAGGCTSTCGTAATAAAATACTGCAGATTGGGTAGCCTTCACAGTAGAAATTTATTTCTAAGTTCTAGAGGCYGGGAAGTCCAGGATCAAGATACCAGCCAGTCTGGGTCCAGTGATTGTTCCTTCTGGCTTGTAGACAGTTACCTTCTGACACATACTCACATGGTACAGAAAGATAGGGCAGGGGCTTCTCTTGGATCTTCCAAGGGCATAGCCCTATCAGATTAGGGCTCTACCTGTTGACCTTATTTAACCTTTACCGCTTCCTCACATGCCCTGTCTTCAAGTCATATATAAGTCACACTGGAGCTTAGGGTTTCAACATAAAAATTTGGGGGGGGCGGGGGGTACAAGTATTCATTCCACAACACATATTTACATAGATAATTTATGTGTGTGAGAGAATGAGTTTGACAGTAGGAATCACCATATATACTTTTTTGGTAATTAGTGTTTTCACTAAATCAAATACACTGAACATGATTTATAATTAAAAAGTATGGAAAAAACAATTTAGATTTAGAAACTTGTTACATAGTCGTAATAAAAATATTTAATTTTCTTTTAACTAGGTATCATATGGAGAGATGGTAGGATGTGATAACCAAGATGTAAGTATTGAATTTTGCTACTTAGGAATGAAAAAAAATCATAAGTTTTTATCGCTTAAATATTTTTCTTATATAGTGTGTCTCACAGTCTTAAGAAAACAAATTGYAGTTACATTAATTATGTTATGCTAATGCTAAAATATTCTTCTCCACAATAGGGCTGTGTTCCTTAATGCATTCCCTACTTAAAATTTTAAAGCTAATGTTATGATGTTATATGCAGATTATATTTTTCATAAGTGTTATGTTGTGTGAAAATTATAATCACTCTCCTTCCCTTTTGGTAAAGATGTATTTACTAGAGCCCAGTTCATTTATCACATTGAAGAAATAGAACTTTAAAACAGTACAATTTTTTTAARACGTATGATGCCAAGGGATAATTGAAGATCTAATGTTAGATTATTTCCCTCCCATTAGTACAGTGTTTTCTATGATTCTTATCAGGTGGCAGCTAATAGGGAGCCATCTCTAACATAAAAAACAAAGGATAGAAAGAAAGGCATTCCTTATTCTTTTTTAGGAAGCTTAATTTTGGTTAGAGATACGTCTTTTATTAAGTGTTGACAATCCTTTTGTTTTGTAATTTTGTCACCCTTGTTACTTTTTTATAATTCAGCCTCATTGTGTGCTTCTTTTGCTCCAGGGGCATAACRGAACCCTGAATTCTGTGGAAGTAGTAATCAGGAACATAGAATTAGCATTTTAGGATTAGCAAGAATTAGGAATCTTAGGATTAGCAAGAATTTTAAATTTCTAAAAACAGTCTGAAGATTGGCTTGGTGTTGTAAAAGTTGTGCCTTTCCTCGATTTGACAGTCAAAACAAAGTCTTCACATAGATGGGGATACACCCCTCTTCCACTGTCTACAATCACCTGTGGGCTGTTTTTGATTATTTCAAAACAGTATTGCTCCACCATTTCAAGAACATCACCAGATGCTATCTTCTGGGGCAGTGAAAATGTTGACTGAGATTTCTGTAAATGCCATATCATAAGCTTTCAAATCCTCTCGTCTCTTGTGCACTTGTGCATGCTAAGACTTTCTGTGCAAATGTAGAGCCATTTAATATGTTTCATAGAGGGGTACTTCACCTCTGCATCTCTAGGAATAGTTGTACTCAGAAAAGGCACCCAGGGTATCCCTCATGTCTTCACTTACAACAAGGTCACTTACTTTATGAGAGAGCAAATAAGGCTGAGTATTAAATAAAATCTTAAAAATATATTACCTTCTTCATAAAATATTCATCTCATATGTATATAACATTAATATATATATATATATATATATATATATATTAATAACCTGATTAAGTTAATGAAAATTAGTCAAGTTTCATTTATTATTTAGTGTTATGGGAACCTTACTTGAACCTCAGTTATCCAAGATAAGTAATTTTTCTGTGCCTTTGTTTTCTAACTCATGAAGTGTATCAGGTAGGCTATATGATCTCTAAATCATCTCCTAGATCTAAAAATTTTAATTTTTATTAGATGAAATATCCAGTCTCCTGGACATACTTTAGTRTACTTTCTATTTGATAGAACTACTAAATTTATTTATTTTTTTAAATTTTGCTTTCCAGTGCCCAATAGAATGGTTCCATTATGGATGTGTTGGATTAACTGAAGCTCCAAAAGGAAAATGGTACTGTCCACAGTGCACTGCTGCAATGAAGAGAAGAGGCAGTAGACACAAATAAAGGTGTCACTTGAGGAAGAAAAGCTTCAGCTCATCATTTTATATAGGACTCTAAAAAGGAAGGGAGAAAGAAAAAACAACTCATTTCCAGGCAACCACTTAGAGGATTTACATTGACAATCCTATAAAATCTTGAACTTGAATTTTATGGGTTGTATTTTAATAATGTAAGTAAATTATTTATGCACTCCTGGTGTGCTATGAATATTATTCCAGTTAGCCTTGGATTATTTCTGTGGCCAACATATGCAGACATTTGTACTCCTCAACCATTTTCTCAAAAGTAATGGGCATTCTATAATTTAGACTTCAAAGAATTCCAACGATGATGATTTTAAAAGTATTTTATATTCAACAGGTATATTCTGCTGCATGTACTGTACTCCAGAGCTGTTATGTAACACTGTATATAAATGGTTGCAAAAAAGACAAAAAAAAAAAAAAAGTCAGCCCTTCTGAAAAGAATTTAAGATAATGGTTTTTAAAATGCCTTTATATAATAAGCTTTGTTTCTTTGTGAAACTGATTCAGCAGGCTGAAGGAAATGGTTCATGTGATAAAGTGGGCTGGTGTCCTCTAGAGTACCTGGGTACATAAACAGAAAACTCCTGTAGGTAAAAACTAATTTGTGCCATTAGTCTTTATATGTTTCTGCATCCAGATAGAGTGCAGTTCATGAGGGCGGGGGAGGGGGGGCTGATGGGGAAAGGGTGTTAAAAGTGATACATTTTTATACCAAATGTGTTTATTTTTTTGTGCAAGTAATCCTTAAAATTGGAATTGTATTAGGTGTTAAAATAAAGTTTTTAAAAAATTACTTGTATTTATACTTTACACACTTAATAATGAAATTTTCTTAATTTGAATTTACTTATAGTTTTCATAATCTAAAAAGGACGAGCCCCAGCCGAATGCTATATGTAATMTGTGATTTCTGTAATAATACTTGGAATTTGTGTTAGGAAAATAAGGGAAAGACATTTTTAATGTAAATTTGAAACGCTAATGTATTTTTTTAGGACATGTCTCTGGCTTTTCCTTCAAAGGGACATAAAAGAAAAGTCTGATTACAGCAGATAAAATGAAAATAATGGTTATAGATGTTTTTACTGGAGGCAGTGTGGCCAACATGAGTGAAGAGATCTCTGACTGGAGCTTTATATTCAGCTCTATTTTTGAATCTGTGACATACTGTAAGAGTTAGTTTCAGTCTTTAATCACTCTGGGCCTTATTAGACCAGTGTGGTGCTGGTACAGGGTGTCTTTAAAGCACTCCTAAGATTTTATTCTACAGGTGCTATTTAGATTTTAGATCTTACTTAGTGGGTGTTTTATTTAAAATAGAGTCTGGTATAGAAAAGTCCTTAAAACTTTTAAGTAGTTATTACATCATACTTCCTTTATTACTGGGTCTGTTGCATTTCTGCTTTAATTAAAAGCACTTAGGAGCCTCTTAGAATTTAATACAGTATAAAATCTATGCAATGTTACCCAGAGGGCATGAATTAGATAGGAGATTTCAGAGTTCTCTTCCAGCTTTGAGATTCCGTGATTCTGAGCTGCTGCAGTCTGATTTTATAACTTCCAGACCAAAGAGAGAACTTTGGTTCATAATGTGAGTCCTCATGATTGCATAATATCATGGTGTATCATGATTTTATGATGCTCACTGTTTTCATGGAGATTTTATAAACATTTGAGAAGTAACATATAATATAGTATTCAGTTAGCTTATTAGTACATTGCGTGGAGATGCTCAAATTTATCATTTATATCCTTTAACTATATATTATGAGTTTCCCAAACTCATTCATTTTATAAGAATTGGTCAAAGGAAAAAGCCTTATGCACAGCCTTATTTTAAGACAAAGTTCCTTGTCTGAGTCAGGAACATCCCTGCTTCCAGCTGCTACAGCCCTTTTAATTTCTAAATTCTTCTTACCAAATCACTCAGAACACACCTTGACAAGTTTTAACAAACATTGAATAGTTTATGAAGTGTACATAAAGAAGTAAACCAAAATTTTGTGCAAGTGTTTAGTAATGGGTAGAACCTGTTAATATCTAAGATATATAATATATATTATGGGCCAAACACAGAACTACCTCAATAAAAATGTGGCCAACTATTAGTACTTTCTTTGTGACATTTACACCAAGGGCATTCAAAACCTTTGTTGTACAAAACTCATGTAATCATCGTTAGCACAAAAAAGTCCAAAATGTGGGTTCATAATTTATAGGTGGTGAAACTTGAGGCCTTAYTGCTCTGGAGTGTATATTAAAATGTTCGTGGTGACACATTTGAAGCAATAAATGGCTTAATTCAATGCCTAAATGAAGCTGAGTGTTTGATAAACATACAATCATTCCTTTTAAGGGCACTTCATTTTTTATTGATTTTTTTTTTTTAAAAATGACAGCCAAATACATTACAATTCTTATTACATGTATACAGCACAATTTTTCATATCTATGGTTGTATATAAAGTATGTTGACACCAATTCGTGTCTTCATACACGTGCTTTGGATAATGATGTCTATCAATCACATTCCACCATCCTTGCTAATCCCCTGCCCCATGCCTTTCCCTTCCACCCCTCTKCCCTTTCTAGAATACATCTATTCTTCCCWTGCTCCTGCTCCCTACCCCTATGATGCAACCTCCTTATATCAGCGAAAACATTTGGCATTTGTTTTTTGGGGATTGGCTTATTTCACTTAGCATTATCTTCTCCAGTGCCATCCATTTACCTGCAAATGCCATGATTTTTTTCTCTTTTATTGCTGAGTAAAATTCCATTGTGTATATATGCCACATTTTTTTTTTTTTTTATCCATTCATTCACCTCAGGGCATCTAGGTTGGCTCCACGGTTTAGCTATTGTGAATTGAAGGGCACTTTATTTTTTTGCTCTTTTCTCCTTTGAAGCAAATTCCATGTATTTTATGTTTTCAACCAGTGTAGGTTTGTACAATTTTAGTGTCCTTTGTCCTTGGACCTAGATGTAATTAATTGTCTTAATCATAGACAAGTAAGTGTCTAATAAATTTGGGTTATATATGATACTCTGAATGTGAAGACATTGCAAAGTTCTCAGTGTTCACATTTTWAAAAAAGTCTTTCAGCAGATGGGTTTTAGTTGGAAAGAATCTCCTCAGTGGTATATTTATAACTGTATTAAGTGCCTAGATGCTGAGAATGTTTAGGTTAAGGTGCATATGTTGCTGTGGCGGGGGAGGGGGTGTTGATGAGAGAAGTAGGTGGGGGCTGACATGTTAAATGATTGTGGCATTTTGACAAATGCTAGAATTGGATATAGGAAGCTCTGTGGGAACATGGGGGAGGCAGGGAATTTGATTATTTTAATAGTTAAGAAACAAAGGAAGGATCATTTGAACTGGTCCTAAAGATAGATGAAGCAGGGATGTTCAAAGTCATGAGGATTCTGGGAACGGGAGGAGTCTGGAACAAGAGGACCTGAGGTAGGATACTGTGTCAGGGCAAGAATCCAAAAGCCTAATATTCATGAGGAGCTTTGCACACTGTGTCATGGCATTGTTAGTTGGGAGTAACATTTACATATTGTTAATGAACTATAGTTATAGTGAATCATAACTCTCAAGATTATAAAGTAGGGATAACATGAAAGTAATTAGTCTCTAACTTGGAAACTTCGAAATGTTAAGTTTAAGATGGAGGTTTCCCCTCAATTTTTGAAACAACAAACTAGAATTGTTAGTTAAGATTTTTTAGATTTCCTTATTTAGATGATAAAATCTAAAGTTCTGGAACAGTTTATGCTTTCTGACCCAGCATCTTACTATTCAGGATTTGATTTTGCTACAGAGAAATAAAGTTCGAAGTGATTTAAGACAAACTGACTTGAGATTTTGTTTTTTAATTTAAATTAAAAAGAATTAATTGAAATTAATTAATTGAAATTAAATTTAAGACAAACTTACTTGAGATTTTTTTTTAATTGAAATTAAAAAGATACAAGAAAGAATTATACCTCCTTCTGGCTGTTTCCATTTTAAAGTAGTATGTCTTATATGCCTTATTGGTCTGTCTTTTAACCAATRCATCATCAGAATCCTAGACATAATTAAAATATTTATCTGAAAGAAAATAATTTCTTTTTTATTAAAATATTTCTTTAGTTGTAGATGGACACAGTATTTTACTTATTTATTTTTTTATGTGGTGCTGAGGATCAAATCCAGTGCCTCACGCATGCAAGGCWAGTGCTCAACCACTGAAAATAATTTCTTAAAAAATATTTTAGAGCCATATAATTCAATTTTTAGTGAATCCACTACTACCTTTTACTTTTATTGACTGCTAACAAAGGAAATGTAGAGGAAAACATTATAATTATCCATTTTTCTGCAGATTTGATGGGACTGTAGCCAGGGTAGGCAGTGAGAGTGGGGTTGTGTTTGTTTGCTTGTGTGTTGCCTGCATTACTCGCCTATGTTAATAGGAACAGCTCTGCTTAGCAAGGTGTGTAGCTCCTAGTCTTTAAGATGTGTGTGTTTAAAACATTCACAAGTTTAATACAGTAGCAGGAAAAAAAAAACTATCATATTTTTATTTATTTTTTCATTGTTATACCTGCTCCAGTAGAGAGTCCCATGCTGTTATGTTAAAATAAAAACAATTTAAATAGATACCAAGTAACTTTAAAAAGATTGTCTAGGTCAAATGTAATTCAAGGGGCCAGCTAGAAATATAAATAACCCTGAGCATAAATAGAGGCAATTGACTAGAAAGATCTTACTAATAGTTAATTAGTAGATTTTATTATGTCTTCCCCAGTGTGTCCCATTAGAATTTATCAAAATCGATGTTCATAACCTCGAAGCATTTGTATTTTTATCTGCAGTATAACAAATTATTTTCTTGAGTAGTAGAGAATGGTTCTAGATAATTTTTAGGGTTTCCCAATTGTACCAAAAGGTGCTATCACTTTACTAGTAATTGTTTTAAAGAGAAATTCAGTTACTTATTGTATACAAAAAAACTCTGAGCTTATATATTGATCATATGGCATCGATTAGATATGGAAATCTACTTTATGTAGTGGATATGTGATCAAAGAGATGCTCAGAGAATGTGACCTTCTTACCCACTCAGATTAGCTAAGAAAATGCCAGCGATCATAGGAGTGATCAAACCAACTTCCAATCATGTCACATACATCAATCTTTAAATAGTTAATGTGATGCAGTAAAACTTTCTTTTTCTGAAAATGTAAATGGATGCTTGAGTTGTGATTACATAAAAGAAAGAAACACAAGGGCAGGAAGAAAGGAGAAAGAAGGAAGTGGAAAGTGAAAGAAGCAAAATTATCAGACCCTCTTAAAATATTTTAAAAAGTATGGTTTCCAAGGAATCCTGTATTGCAGATCTACAGAGAAGATGAATGAGATTTCTAGTTGAGAATATAATTTGATACTGTCATATAACCAACAAAAAGTAAATTTGTTCATGTTTTATATATTATTTAATAAAAACAGGATTTCCGACTTCATGTCAAGGTGTAAACTTGTGCTCTGAAGAAAACAAACAGTGGGATTCATTAGATTCAATATTTACCATATTGTGATATTTATCATACCTGTGAACCTACTGTTTAAGTGAATCCCTTTACCTCTGTATTTGTCTGCCTGTCTATTCTTCTATATATTCATCATCCTATCCATCATCCATCCATTTATCTATGATTTAGAAGGTATGTATACACAGATCTTTATTTGTCATCTTTTAAAGGATGCAAATCTAAATGTCAAATTTGAGAGCCTTAAAGGAT